GGGGTAGGGGTTCATTGTAGGGCGGTATATTTCATCTGCGTCTTACCAACATCACTTGCATCCCAATCGGTTGCTGACGAAATGTGGTCTTTATTCTGCTGACTCACCTTTAAAAACAGCTAAATCACAAATTTTCTTTCATCCAACGGTCCCTGCGGCAAAGGCACTCTTTCCACTTGATCCGAATTTTTTGTCCCTGCTTTACCATTTCAAGTCGCGCCCTCCAGATGTATGTAACTCATGCCTCAAATAAGAGTCTAAACACAGATAAGTGCCAGTTTATGTCAGCCTAAGGGCCAAGTCCATCTTCAATGTTCCTTTAGAGCCCAAGGCAAAGCTTGTCTTGACAAGTTTATTCAGTACATCTTGAGAGTGCTCCCGTCCAATTCAGATTTTTTCCCAATTATGTCTGCTTTTATAGCACAGTAATTTCTTTCTGCATTCTCTTGTGTAAACGTTTAAGGTATCTCAATCTTACACTGTGAAATGATAATCTAGTTTCTTGCTCATGCTCCTTCTTGGGTAAATCTTGCAAAATTATAGGTTTATAAAAATCTCTTGCGTTTAGTTGTGCTTTCTGTATTTCTTAATTTTGTTTTCTATTTTTTGTTGTCTCCTTTTTGCTTGTTCCCCCCCCCCCCCAACACCTTTAATGTCCATGTAAAAACCCATTCCTGCGTGGATTAAAAATGAGGAACTCAGTTTAATCCTCTTTTACTCCACCTATTCTTTCTTTTACGAACATTTCTTTTGTTTTATTCTTTTCTTTTATTCTTTCTTCCTAGTACTTATTCACATTTGTTCATCTCTACATTGATTCTCCTCCGTTTAGTACAATGTCTGTGGTGTAGCGGTTTGACACGTAGCCCATGCACGCAGAATACTCTTGTTCAATTCCCAAACGAGTACTGTTACCTCGATCATTCTGCTGGGACGTTGTATCCTTCTCAGCCCTGGTTGGCTCCGATAAATGGAGTGGAAGTCCACCCCTAAAATGACCTATAATGTGTAATGGGGACTTAAAACACTTACATATTGCGTCTGCTCACAATCTCTCTACAGTGTTCGGATGGGCTCACCGGCTCAGGCCTATGTTATTGTGATCCCTCTTTCATGGGCACTGCTTGTGAACTCTGCAGGCAGAAAGATGTCTTTGGGCCTCATTGTAACAATTGTGAGTACAGTTTCCTTTCCAAACTTTCGTTACTATTGGTTTTTGTTGTGGAATTTCCTGGAGTTTATTTTTAAATCCTTTGTTGTTGGTGTAGTTGTTGTTGTTGTTGTTGTTGCTGTTTTGTCTCCTCTGTTTTATATTGGTTTGGGTTGTTTGTTTGTTGCTTTCATTTTTTTTGTATTGTTTTGTTTTGTTTTGTTAATAATTCGTACTTTTTTCCTTCTTTTTGGGGGGATGGGAGGGGGGAGGGGGAGTAGAGGGCATCATAGAGCGCACTGTACAGGTTGTCATAATGTGCCTTTGGAAGTAGGGGCCAGAGGGAGGGGGATGGAAAAATGCAGCAGTAGAAACACAAGACGTGAAGAGCTTCTGACGTCATTCATTCTTAGTCCTGGTTTCTGCACCAGTGCTGGTACGGTCTGACCAGAGAGGGTTTACAGTAGTATTACTGTAAACTCTCTGGTCTGACGGTACTGGACACAGAGTGTGGGTAAAGAACCAGTACTGTTTTGCCGGTACCACAAATCACTAATAGGAGCCAACATTCATATCAATTGGGGGGGGGGGGGGGGGGGGGGTTTCTGCACCGATGTTAATTCGGCTTTGTTAGATTCGATTTGCAGAAAACGTGAGAGATGTTTGAATAGTTTGGTGATAGCAAAAGTCAAGGATGAAAATGTTTTTTGGCAGCATCCTATCAGAGGTAAGCAGAAAGAACGAAAGAGAGAGAGAGAGGAGGGGGGGAGAGAGAGAGAAAGAGAGAGAAAGAAAGAGAGAGAGAGAGAGAGAGAGCGCGGAGAGAGGAAGAGGAAAGGGGTATACAGAGAGAGAGAGAGAGAGAGAGAGAGAGAGAGAGAGAGAGGAGAGAGGAAGAGGAAAGGGGTATACAGAGAGAGAGAGAGAGAGAGAGAGAGAGAGAGAGAGAGAGAA